GGGAGGGAAAGGTCCGCGCCGACCCGGTCGCACGAAGGCCGTGAGTAATGGGGGGTTCGTAGGAGCGACAGCCGCAGCCCAGGTGAAGGGTACGGGGAGGGACAGGAGCCTGCGGCGGGAACAAAGGAGCCGCCCCCGGTGTCTTCAGCGGGAGGTGGGAGAAAGAATGGGGGAAAGGGGAAAAAAGGGGAGGAAAGGGGGGAAGAGGGGAAGAAAGAAAGAAAGGAAGAGAAAGAGAATGAAGGAAAGGAAAGGAAGGGAGGCGAGAAAGGAAGAAAGACAGGAAAAAGAAAGAAAAAGAAAGAAAGAAAGAGTGAGCAAACATCAATAGGTGAACATGCTGTAGATTTGCTCATTCTGCCGATTTTCGGTGCGATTGCATCCTAGGTTTTCATTCCCTATACACCTTTGGAAGGAGCTCACTATGACAGGGCAGAGTCTGAAGGCTTTATCTGAAGCAAATTTTGAAGACAATGAGATCAGCATCAACGTTGGAGGCTTTAAGAAAAAGATGAGATCCAACACATTATTAAGGTTCCCTGAGACCAGGCTGGGCAAACTGCTGAGCTGCCACTCAAAGGAGTCAATACTAGAGCTCTGCGACGACTATGATGACACCAAGAATGAATTTTATTTCGACAGGAACCCTGAGCTCTTTCCTTACGTGCTACATTTTTATAACACCGGCAAGCTCCATGTGATGGGTGAACTCTGCGTGTTTTCTTTCAGCCAGGAGATTGAATACTGGGGAATCAATGAATTCTTTATAGACTCCTGCTGCAGTTACAGCTACCATGGGAGGAAAATGGAGCCAGACCAAGAGAAATGGGAGGAGCAAAGTGACCAGGAAAGTACCACATCTTCTTTTGATGAGATTTTGGCATTCTACAACGATGCCTCTAAATTTGACAAACAACCCTTTGGAAACATCAGGAGGCAGCTCTGGCTCGCTTTGGATAATCCTGGGTACTCAGTCTTAAGCCGAATCTTCAGTGTCCTTTCAATAGTGGTGGTGCTGGGCTCCATCGTGACCATGTGCCTGAACAGCCTCCCAGACTTTCAAATTGTTGACAGCAATGGGAACCCCGAGGAAGACCCTCGCTTTGAAATCGTGGAACATTTTGGTATTGCATGGTTCACTTTTGAACTGGTGGCGAGATTTGCAGTAGCTCCTGACTTTTTAAAATTTTTCAAGCATGCCCTGAATTTGATTGACCTAATGTCTATCCTTCCATTTTATATTACCTTAATTGTCAACTTGGTAGTGGAAAGTAGTCCGACTTTAGCAAATTTGGGCAGGGTTGCACAAGTCCTGAGACTCATGAGGATCTTTCGCATCTTAAAGCTTGCTAGACACTCCACAGGTCTCAGGTCTCTCGGAGCCACCCTGAAGTATAGCTACAGAGAGGTGGGGCTTCTTTTACTTTACCTCTCTGTTGGCATCTCCATTTTCTCAGTAGTGGCTTACACCATTGAGAAAGAAGAGAATGAGGGGTTAGCCACCATCCCTGCTTGTTGGTGGTGGGCTACCGTTAGCATGACCACAGTTGGCTACGGGGATGTTGTGCCAGGGAGCACTGCTGGCAAGTTGACAGCATCTGCATGCATCCTAGCCGGTATCCTAGTGGTAGTGCTTCCCATTACACTGATATTCAATAAATTCTCCCACTTTTACAGGCGTCAGAAGCAGTTAGAGAGTGCCATGAGAAGCTGTGATTTTGGTGATGGCATGAAAGAAGTTCCGTCAGTCAACTTAAGGGACTACTACGCTTATAAAGTTAAATCCCTTATGGCCAGTCTTACCAATATGAGCAGGAGTACCCCCAGTGAGCTGAGCCTGAATGATTCACTGCATTAGTGTACAAGTTTGACAGCAGTTTGCATGAGAGCTATCAAGAGCTATGTTTATAAATGTTTTCCTATTTGTCTTCTTTTTTTCCTAGAGGATAGTGTTGCTGACACTGCACTAACTTTGCACTTGAGAAACTAAAGACATTTCTATTACAAACTGACAGTTTGCACATTTTCATCCTGTTGCATAGGTACTAAATGCTGACTTTTCCATACAAATGTTACCACTTCCATGACATTAGTGCTAGTGGTCTAGTGATGATCTGTTACTTTGTGCATTTCCTCATCTGAGCAGAGAAATGAACATACCCAGGTGGAATAAAAATTCTCAGCTGTGACATGAGTAATGAAAAAAATCACCTATCACCTATACTGGTATCTGTACTAGTGTAGGATTTGCTATGCATTTTACAACAGTTTAAAACAATCACCTGTAAATCACTGACATGGGAACACTCTTCCCCGTCTTTCTGACTGGTAATTCTGATCATCACATGTGTGGAAACACCTCTGAGCTTCACATTTCAATGGAAGTTAGCTTACTCTTGAGCGCATGTGTTAAAAATTGGGTGTTCTTGTTCTGAAATGTTATGTATGGTAATATTTTTCAGAAGCTCTTAAGCATAGACCTACCTCTGCTTCCAAGATTAGGTCAATATTGAGCCCTTTGAAGAAGCCCACCCCTCATTTTCAGGTAGCTACTTAGTCAAAGACTACATTTCCACAAGGGACTCTAGGTGTGGAGGCCCATGAAGACATCTCAGTTTCCCATTTCCAGAAATGATCTGCACACAGCTCGGTTCCAGTGAAGCTGAAGATATGTTGTGTTTGAGTGTCAAAATGGTTCTGAGATTAGACACACAAAAACGTGGGTTTTCAACAATTAGAAGCTCCAATGAAAAACTTGGATTTGTTTAATGAAGTGAAATATTCCCACATGAGCAGTACAGACAGCATTTTAGGAACTGACATTCATATACTGCAAAAAGACTAATTATAAAGGTGCCATATGTGATGCTGAGATATAAAATCTAATTTTATCAGGAAAGCTTGAAAGCAGGTGTTGATGGCAGACAATTCCATTAAGCTTTCTGCCAAGGAAACTCTAAGGAAAAAAAAAACCCTGTAAGTCACATTTTCCCTCAGAAAGGAACTCACAACTTACAGCTAAGGAAAAGTAAAAGGGCCTAAGAAAGGAACAGATAAAGAAGAAGAGCTTAATACTGCACTTACTGTGGGCAGATCCTCCTACCTGTTTCTGTGACGCAGTCATTTTAAATCCTTTCAAGGGCTGGCCTGTACTTTTTTTTTTTTAAAAAGATGTGAGAGAGCAGAGCATCTGGGTTTTCAAGAGTAATCATGAATCTGCATAAACTTATTTTTTGAGTGCTCAGTCTCTTCCCTTGCAAAATTTTACAGACATCAAACACTTGTAGCCAACAGGCAGCAGCCACTGCTTCCCTCGCTTTATACTTCTAGGAATCTGTGCTATGAAACAAACTACTGGCATTCAGTGGGCAGAACAGCATTTCTCTTCAGATCCTCCTGCTTTTCCATCCTATTTATTACATATAATGTTCCAGTTAATTATTTTTAATTTTTTTTATTTTACTTGTGAAGACTAGAGAGGTTCAGAAAATAAATTCAAACTAGTTAGAAATTAAAATACCAAAGCTAAAATTGTCATGTTTGGAAGCCTGTGTTTGTGTACCACAACAAGGAGTGGCCCAACTGGCAGAATAAAGCAAATATGGTATGGATAGGTAATTCCCATTTTTTAGGCTATTAGAGGTCGCTGTCTGGTCTGGATCTTTTGATGTTGTTGCTGTATCAGCTCCACCAAAAACCAGAAAACTGAGCACCCAGGGTGAGATTCCTGTTTGCACAGCGATCTATCACAGAATACATAGTGTGAAATAACTCCCCCCCGCCCCCAACATTTCCTTTGAACACCCCCCCCTCACATCAGTTAGTAGTTGATTTAGGCCATGAAGTGTGAGGGAAATGGGACCTTTCTAACTTTACCAAATAAAACTCTTGGAGATTTCAACAAAGGCTGCACAAGTTACAAAGTTGATAGGCAAGACCTTGCTTGCTGTCCCTGAAAATCAAAGAGCCATATACAAGGCCCTGAAGTAGACCTGGGTAACCCGAATTAAGTGTCCAAACCTGAAGCATTTTGCTAAGGTTTTCACTTCTGTTCAAGTTCTCTGCTGGGTCACAGGCATAAATTCAATAGTCTTGTCCCTGAGTCATATTGCATGTGTGTGTAAACTATCATACACGTACAAACACCCACCCAAAACACGGCACAGCACTAGGTTGCCTGTTGGATTGAAATACCGTGAAAGAAATAAGGGAAGGAGGAGATGGGCTTGCACAGCACATATATACACTCTGGAAGGGTTACATGCTGCAAGGGTGGCAAACTCCCACCAGTGTCAAGGACGCTGCAAGTTCTCATTAGGTCTGTTGGCTGGGAGCCTTCAGAGGCTCCAGCTCCAAGCAGTGGTTTTATCTCAGTTTCACAAGCAGTAGATTCACAGAGTTGAAAACCAATGACTTTCAGGGCAGTTATTTGAAGAGACCTGTAAACTTGCCAAAGAGTCACAAATTCCCTCAGCTGTTGCTAGTTTAGCATTGTAAAGGTTGGATCCAAACTTTGCAACACATCATTTCAATAACCTATAGCTTATCTTATGTTCTAGATTTATTATTATTCGTAGGGCTGATGCTCTGTCATTTCTGCAAATATTGAATGGAACATGTCCAAATTGCATTTTACTAAAGAAAATGAAATACCCTAAGGAATTATGACTTATATTGTGCTGGTTGAAAGGAATTTTCATTATTGCTTTTTTATATAAGTGCTTTGGATCAAAGACACTGAATAAATAAAGTACTGAAATTTAATATGTTCTTATTATCATGACAATGACTTTACACAGTACACAGGAATTCCCTTCATAAACTTAACTAAGCCCATGTTAAAAGTAGTCAGATTTTTGCTCCCCCCTCCTCCGGAAGAGCATTCCAGAGGTGCACTGCTCTCCAAGGCTTGTGCAACTTTTAGCATAGTTTTATTAATGGCTGCTTAATATCAGTTTTTTTCTCATGCCACCACTGTTCTTTAGCTTAAATATTTCATTTTCCTCTTAGTGTTTGCATGCATGGTGTATTTATAGACAGCAACCATATGCCCTTACATGCTTATTTTCATAGGATTATACCTGCCAAGCTTCCTTTTAGTTTTCTTTTTGCAAGTCGTGTTCCCCTGACCATCCCAGGGAATGTAGCCTTTTTTTCTGCAGCACTTTTGCTTAGATTTAATCTGCTTGAGCCGGCATTGTACAGTATTGTATCACTTCGTACAGCAGTTTTAATATTTGCTTATGACTAACAGATTTTTTCACTGAGGATAACAATTGTTCCGATTTAATTAATGTTGTTGTTTTAGCTCCCCCAAAATATCTAGGTAAGGAAGAATGAGGCACACCCTTCCTGCCATTTTATGAAGTATGCTGTATTCTAGGGCTCAGTCCAGTAAGTGTCGAGAATCCTCATCTCTCATTAAATAAAAGTTACACAAAAATGTTTACACTTTGAAGGAAAAATTCAATCTCGCCAAAGCCTCAATGAGGAGAAGAGGTGGTGTACTTCTTGAGTAGTCAGTACTTTCGCCAGACTTCTTCAATCACTGGTTTGTAAGAGCAGGGCATCTTCAATTCTATAAAACAGCGGGTCAGAAATGAAGGATGAGAGGACTAATTGGCCGCTTTCTCCAGTGTTTGAAACTTGAAAATTGTTGTGGTCAGAAATCTGCTTACTGTGGATGTGCAGTTTAATGAAGAACATTGCACTTGGCATGTATTCCTCCTGCCTTGTGATGGTCACCTCCCTGGCACCGGTGAAAACACTGTTCCTCCTCTCAGCTGAGAGCTTTGAATTGCTTAAATGAGGATTATGGCAATATTTCAAATGAGGCAACTTACTTTATTGCCAGGAATAAACTGTTAGAGAATCTTGATTTCTAGTACAAATCTAGGCTATTATAAGAGTTGGAGATGTCCTTGAGAAGCAATATGTTACATTATTTTCCTGAGATGTAAAATCTATCTATAGATTGTGATTAAGCTTTTTATGTATGTTCAGATTTTGTATTATTGCCTGGTTTATTATTCACTTACTTTCTTCAGTTGCTAATTCTCTCTTTCCCTGCAGACTACTTTATCCATTTTGAAAGCAGACTGGTTTTTCCTCACATATTATACATAGCATGAGCTACTTCACATTGCAAACTTAAAAACAAAGAACTCTGCATTTAATTTTCCAACTTTAATACCTCCAGTATTTGTACCTTTTGTACAGAACTTTATGAGACTGCAGGGAACTACTGTATCTGGTGCTCTTTGTACTGCGTTTCTTGTGCCAGTAGTGTATAACACACTCAAGAACTCAGCTTTGTGCCACAAAATGGAAATTAAATGCATAAAAAAGTATATTTCACCAGGGATTAAGAACTGATTTAAGTTTCAGGATATTCTGAGTATATACTATAATCAAAGACAAGCCTGGATGTCATTGTGAAGAAAGGTTTCTTTTAAACATATACATCAGGCTAGATTTCTATTTTTAAAAATGCTCTTAATTGGTGGTTGTGGTGGGGAACCCAGATTTTTCAGTTGAGCAAACAGTGCATGCTTCTTGTTCTCTACCTCACAGATTAGGGACTAAGCAACATACCAATAGCACTTGTAGGTGGTAAATCAACTTGACATGACCTTTCATCTTTTCCAAAACAACCCCCATCCTTAGAGGCCCCAGCTGTGCACACATAAGCAGCAGAAAGCCCCTGGAGTAACTGCTCTTGCCGTGCTAGTTATCCATTTCCTCTCACAATACTCCTGACTTCAATCTACCTTTGATGGTACTTTCAAACAACATTCAACCCACAGTCGCCACTCATATCCCTCACTGAGGTGTTGTGCCAGAACTATTCTTTTCTCATCATGTT